CAGGGTTGCAGGAGCAATAAATTCAAAGTTGGATTTCATTTGCAAGTGGTTCCTGGGTGCTTTCCAAGAAAGAGGTGGCTCTGGTGGCTGCAGAGATGGTCTGGGAGGTTTCGAGGCATTATCTGGGAATAAATGAGCTTGTGCCAGATGATTCCATGCTGCTTTGACTTTTCAAGTTGGTGGTGGACAAGTTGGCTGTTGGAAGCCTTGAAATAAGGAATCAGTAAAATGTGAATTCCTTTTTTGTTGTTGTTGTTTTATCCTCACAGTAGTAAATGGTACAACTTCTTGAGAGCTTCGGAGTTTGTTTGGGGTTTTTTTAGCTCTTGGAATGCTGTTACAAATCTGTACCTTTTGGAGGCTGGAGAGGGACAATTTTGAGTGAAAATAAAAGTAGTGAAGCTAATTTTTCTTTCTTTGAATGGAGCATGGAAGAACCAGGAGGCTGAGACTTGGTGGGAATACATTCTGACTTCGATACAAGTTTGTGTTGATCAGATCTTAATTCACTTGTATCCTTTAATTATCCATTCCAACACCATAAGACTTTTAAATATCAAATTTTAAGGATGTTCTCTGCCAAAACTGCATGCTCTAAGTGCAGATCCTGTTGGCAGGAATCTGAGGAGCTGTTGACTTGGCCTCCTTTGTAGCCCCATCCTCCCTTGCCTGGTTTTTCCCTCCTTAAAAGTCAAACAGCAGTTGACAAAATAACAGAGCTCATGAGTGTGTAGCCCTGTCAAGATCAGCATGTCCCTCTTGAATCCCACCAGAGCTGAGGCAGTAAAAGAAAAACATCTTCCTGGTTCGGTTCAGGCACATCTTGGATCCTCTTTGTGACTGTCCTTTGCTGCTTCCTGCACCTCTCTGGCATTAAATCCAAGCTGCTGGTTCTTCCAGAGCCCTTCTCCCACTGCCTTGTGCTTCGTTGGGATGTTGACTCTTCCCTCTGGCATCACGAAACTCAGTTCCTGACCTTGAAATGCTCCAAATCTCCATCCTTCCATTCTTCCCTCTTGATGTGCTCACCCATGAACATTTGTAAGGATGCTCCTAATTTTCCTTGCTTTTTGGTGGTATAGCTTCAGGGACCCTCATAGCTGACTGTCAGGCCAGTGTTTCTGTCTTTCCAGGTGTTTCCCATCCAATCTCTGTTCAACATTTTTTGCACTAAATCTCCTGTTTTAAATTCTTTAACGCAGGAATTATCTCCTTACTCTGTATTTATACAGCACTTAATGTGATGTAGATGTGATTCCAAAGTGATGCCTTTGATAATGCCTTTAAAATTGTTGTTTTGGTAGTTAACAACCTTGAGAATGATGTCATTATCTATTTTTATATGTATATATATATATATATGTATGTATGTATGTATGTATATGGTGTCCAGAGACAAAAGTTAAGATATTGCAGCCTGTTAACATTTAAAAACCTCACAAATAGAAAAAATAATTAAAAAAATACATACTTTTCCTGGCCCTACCTTGTCTCCTTTGCTGGTTATGACATCAGCTGCTTTGTGTGGGGAGACTGAAATGATGAACTCTGATCTCACCAGGTAAGAAGTATTTTTGTAAAGCTGTGCATTTAGACTAATTCTGTCTGCTGTACAATGTGCTGAGGATTTGTGATCCTCAGCAGGCATTTGACAGATCTTAACTAGTTCTGCTCTGTCTTGTCAATCAAAATTAAACGCCCACCTCACTCCTTCCTACTTTCTCTCTCTTCCAGCCTTTTTATTTAGGTTGGTCATTAAAATTGCTCATAACCATAGAAACGAGGAAAACCCGCCCCTTACTTTCCAGCTCTTTAGTGTGATATTCCTGTACTGACATCATGTGAGTTATATCCACCAGGGCTTAAAAAAAACAAAACCAAAAAACCCCCAAACCTGCAGGCGGGCAGAGCTGTCATGAATTCCTCCCCGGAAAGGAGTCGTTCCTGCGGGTGCCAACCAAGGATCGTGTCCCTCTGCCATTCCTGGGTGGAGAATGTTGAGAGGGACATGGAGGAGAGTCCCTGCTGTGGAAAAACCACCAGAGAAAGGAGAGGGAAACAGATCTGTGGGATGGAAGTGGTGGGAGGATAAGGAGAAGGTGGGGCAGTGGGAAGTCACGGGCACAACACAGCACGTGTTGATCATTTCAGTGCTGGTTTTCATCCTCCCAGGTGTGCTCTGGAAGATGGGCATAACATGGATATTTCTGGAATGCTGGACAACCAGGTCTCTCTTCTTACGGACCTGAATCCTCACACGGCAGGATGGGTTGTTTCATGGCTTAGCTTGTTCTGAAAAATGTAAATGGTTACTGATTTTTTGCTTGTACAAGCAGTTTACAAACACCCAAGGCTGCATAAGGGTTATAGAAACTCTTCCCTTAGGGGCCATGAACAACCTGAGATTTCAATGCTAGACTCTGGAAGAATAATGCTGTTCTCATTTGGAGCAGGATTGCTCCAGGTGAGATCACTTAAGACAAATTTCCTCTTTTCCCCCACCCCCAGTTTTAATTGCAATGGATCTCATTAGTATTAATTTTGGTCTTTTTCTTTTTTTTTTTTTAACAAATGGAAGGAATAATCCATCACATTAAAAGAGTTAACTGCAGCTCCCAGCTTTGCTTTCCATAACTTGCTGAATTTTGCTCTTTTGATGAGTTCTGGGAACTTGGTGGAACATGGGAAGCAATACAGGGGGTCAAGGAGTGACTTTGCTGCACAGGTGATGACAGTCCTGGAGGGATGGAGCTCTGAGCATGATGGTCTAGTGGAAGGTGTCCCTGTCCATGGAACAAGATGAATTTTAAGTTCCCTCCCAACCCAGGCCACTCTATGATGATGTGATTCTATGATCCTCTGCTGCCTGTGCTTTGCTGGGACCTCTGAACATGCTGAGTTGTGACACTCATCAGACAAGGAGAGCTGGGCAGTCTTACACTAGAGCAGGTTGATGGGTGTTTGAGCTGTGCACCAAACAGGTATCTTTGCTTTGTCATTTTCCTGCTAGATTTCTAAAAAGAAAACCAAGATGCATCCACAAAACCCAGAAAAAAACCCTCCCAAGGCTGTTGGGTGTCAATACATAGACGTTGTTGAGCTGCCAACGTGTAGATGGCACCCACTAGATTGGTCCTTCATATCCTTAGATCATGGAATCCTGAAATGGTTTGGGCTGGAAGGAACCTTAAAGTTCATCTTGTTCCACCCCTCTGCCACGGACAGGGACACCTTCCACTCTCTAAAGTTGTTCCAAGCCCCGTCCAACCTGGCCTTGAGCATTTCCAGGAACGTGTTAGAGGAGGAATAGGATTTGTGCAAGGAGTCCTCCCTCTCTGTGGTTATGGTGCACACTCTTTATACGTACAATGATCACAGAGAGGGAAAGCTTGACAAATCACACCGTGTCTGGATGTCTGGAAGGTCTCCAGGATGGAGATGTGGATTGCTCCTGAGTTAGCTGGATGTGGGAGTTTCATCACTCTCTCTGGAGCAAAGCTTGTCTCCTCCTGGGAAGGGGAATTTTGACCCTTGGCCAGAGAAATAATGAGGAAGAAGGGATGTGTGTGATGTAGTAGGAGAAAGTGTTGCTGAGCAACATCTTAAAATTTAAAGGTCTTACTTATTTACCCCGTCTTTGAAAGCTGGCACCGGGTGCTGTACTTTAACTTAAAGGCTCTTAGTGATTATTTTTCCCCATATTTTGGAGCTTCTGCCCTCGGCTTTTGAGGGTGTTGAGATAGGTTGTGTTCATCAAAGAGGAGGAAAGGGTAATTGGGTGGTTTTTCTCAGGGTATGAAAGCTCAGGGCAGGAGCTCCTTCTTTTGCTGCTCTCTCCAGCCCCAGTGTCATCCCAGATAGTTTGACTTTCTCCACCATTGCATCACGAGGAGGGATTAGAAAGCTTTGCTCATTAGTCTGGGAGGCTTAGTCTTGTGTGATGATGCTCCTCCTGCTTAAAACCAGCCAAAAATATCAGCAGTTTGATTAAAACACTTTCTTTGAGGAATAATTGTCTGTAATAATACTTTTATTTCCTTACTTTACACAGTGCGAAAGTGCCTCTACCTGAGTTGCCTAAGCCATTCTTTTTTTCTTTTCTATTTTATTTTTTTATTAAAGCATAATAAACTGCATTAAAAACATCTTAAATTCCCTCTGAAACATTAGTTGCCAAATCTGGACCAATTAAAAAAAAGAAAAAGAGTTGTGAAAGTGTGTGTGGGAAATGGGTTTATTATGTTGTTAGAGTCTCCAGAGTTATCTGAGGTATTGTATCCTTATGGATGCTGTTCCTGAGGAGAGGAAACAGCCTCAAGTTGCACCAGGGGAGGTTTAGGTTGGATAGGAGAAAAATTTATGCATGGAAAGAGTGGTCAAGCATTGGACCAGGTTGCCCAGGGAAGTGGTGGAATCACCACTTCTGGGAATGTTCAAAATCCCAGTGTTGGCTCCACTTGGTTGTCCCAGTTGTGTGATTCCATCTCAGCAATCCCTTTAGCTGCACAGGCTTTCCTTTTGTAGGAAATGTAGGGAAAAAACCGCTGACAGATCCTTTTAACTGGCTAATGCTGAATATAAAATCTGAGATCACCAAGCAGGTGGAAATGAAAATGATGTGAAATCACGATTTGCAGGAAATTAAAATTACTTACTGTGTTTCACCGGGTATCCCCTAATGTTTGCACCCTGAAATTAAAGGGAAGAGGTGGGATGTTTTTTTGTTTGTTTTCTTTTTCTCTGCGTGTGTTGTATTGTCAACAGACATTGTGTAGGCCAAAAGCAAAGCTTGCCTAATATATGTATATGTTTCTTTAACAAATTCACGGGGTGTGAAAACTCCCAAAGGCAGTTGAATCTAAAGACTAAACCTCAGCCTTGGGAATCCCTGAGCTTCAGACTGGAGGAAACAGAGCAGATAAAAGCCCATGTGTGCTTTTCACTTCTGATTTTCTATTTTTTTGTGTGTCTTTTTTTTTTTTTCCCTTTTATCTGCACAGAGACCACACTGCTGAGCTGGGCCTTGGCTCTGTTGGGTGCCCAGTGCTGAACGAGCGGCTCCGCAGCACGAGGGAGAAAAAATTGTGAGTGAGAGATATTTGCTGTTTTCTTTCTTTGATAACCCTTCTCATTTCAGGGCTCTTTTTTTAAAAAAAAATTGATTTTGGTTGGTTTTCTCCCTACCCTTTCGCCTCATTGGAGCTGATGTCGAGTGTTGTGTAGGACGTTGTGGGCTCGGCGCTGGCAGGTGTTCCCCTCTGGATGGTGTTTCCTTGTTCTGACAGGTTAACAGGGGGTCATCTTCATCCAAATTCCCCCCCTGAGCTCTGACCTTGGCTGTTCATTAAGCTCTGGGATGTCCCACGCTCACGGCACCTTGACTTTTGAGTTGGGCTTTCCAGCCAGAGCATTCTCGGGTGTTTTCTGCTGGGAACAGATGGTCAGTGAAAGTGCCATTTTTCAAGGTGTAACAGGCTGTGTCTGGAAAACCTACGGAGTTCTTTAACAGCAGAAATGGTTTCCTTAAGCTGCATCTGCTTTTCTCACCTGGAATATCGTTAAGGGTCATTTGTATCGTGGCAAGGATAGTTGTTTCGTATCCTCCAGCCTAATAGGAGGAAATAAGTCTTTCCTTGGGTATTTTTTGGTTTGGTGTCTGTTCCTCCTGCTTAGAATGTTATTCTAGAATTTGAAAACACAGAGAGTTCCATATATTTATCTGAATCAATTGGTTAGCTTGCATTTATTGAAGAAATCTTGGAAACAAGTCCTTAAGAAGTTTATTTTTTTTAATGTTATTATTTTCCTACCTTGATTTTCACAGCCTGGGGAGCACTGGCATGTTCCAGCCCCGTTTCATAGACGGAGCTAAAGAGATTTGTAATATTCAGTAAATAATATGCATAAATGATGCCTATTAATGTTCTGAGTAATCACCAACAACAGAGTAAATATGAGGTTAATGAGATTAACAGGAAAGAGGAACATAAGCCTTGACTGCACCTCCCTGTGGCCCCAGAGCTCGTGGTGGCCCCGTTTCTGTTGACAAGCCCAGCATGGCTGTGGATGCAGCAGTGCTTTTGCTGCTGTTCCCCATACAGGGCTTAATGAGTTCCTACTGCTGGCATTTTTCTTTAAATGCTGGATAATGTTATTAAATCCCACTCCTTGCAAGCGGATTTGAGCTATTATTTTGTAAATATATCTTTATTTGTGGCTTTTTTTCCCCCCTGTTTGTTACTAGTGCTGGGGCTCGGTGATAAGGCCTTGCCTTCTGAAATCTTTTCTCAGGCATCTGGTACCCTCCGAGGTGTCTCCTCAAGGCCACCAGAGGAACTGGCCCAACTCTTTTCTGACAAACACGTTGCTGTCAGAATATTGTACTCAGAGATACACTGACAGTTAACCTGTATTTTCTTATCTCAAGCTCCATCCTGACTTGATTCCCTGTGTCCTTTGCCTTTTCCTCTCTGCGTGCTCTCCAGCACATGCTCCCCATCAAACCTTGCAGGGAGAGAAAATTCAATTTTCAAGCAAAATATGACTTTTTTTTTCTACTCTAGTATGTCTCATGCCCTCCCTCATTCCCAGGTTAGTGTGTTTTCTGCTGTCTGCCCATCATCCTCTGGTATTTTCTGCCAGTCTTCAATGTTTTCTCGATGTCACTACCTCAGAATTGTTTATTTGAGTTTTCTCCACCCAAAACTGCATCTGCGTGGTTGACTCAAAGCCGCAGGCACCGACTCCCCTTGCTGGTCACTCTACAAACTGCAGTCTTTTTTTTTTTTTTTTTTTTTCCCTCCTATTTTAAATGAAAATGCCTCACTGAGAAACCTATTTCGTTTACTCAAGATAAATGTTGTACTTATGGCTCTGGCTTTTCTCTTTATGGCTGTTCTGATTAAACCATGAACCTTCAATGTAAACAATTCAGGTAGAGTATGGGCACTGCATATTGCCTAAATGAATTATTCACCTCTTAGCTTTTGTTTTCATTTCTTGGGTGTTTGGTTCCTCCCCCTTTTTTTTTTTTTTAATTTATTTTATTATTGGAAGTTCTTTTCCTCCTGTTTCAATTTCGTAGGGCAGTGATTTTTCTCTCTTCTATCATCTCTTTTGTGTTTCAGTTGTGAGGTTGACTGGTTAAGGGATCAGGAGGACAAGTTGTGTTCTCCTCTGTCCTCCCAGATGCAGGGAGTGATGAGAGGAAAACCAGGAAAAGCCAGGATATCAATTCCTCGCTCCAAGTCTGGTGTCACCAGCAGAATTTTGGAGTTTTTTATCATGGGCTGTTTATACCACACCAGGTTCTTCTGGTGACACCTGGGGTACACCTGCCTCAAAGGGGACAAGGATCTTTGCCCAGGAGTTATCAGGGCTCATGGAAAGAGGTTTTAATTAGATTTGAAGGGGGAAAGGGATAAAATCAGGCTTGCTGGAGATAAGCCTAGGGGTGGGATGCCAGTGTTTGAGGGATGGTGTGGTAGAGACGTCCTTTGTTCTAGTGGAGAAAGGAGATGGATGTCCATGTGGAGATCCAAACACACCAGGGATGCCAATGCGTTAGAAACCATGGAAACACCTGGGAGTGGTCATGTAGGAATTAGGGTTTCTTCCCCCAAAAGCAGTGGGATCAATAGCCCAACTACACCCATGCCCACAGCACAGGCAGCAAAGAGGAGGAGCTGGAAGCAACTGGAAATTTGGCATCACAGACACAGTGGGACGAGTCGTGCAGCTGGAGTGGCGTGTCTGCAGAGGGGACAGGGAAGGAAGGAGAGGTGGAGGGATAACCCTGTGTGTTAGGGAGTGTGTTCATTGTCTGGTGACAGATCAAATGGTGTATGGATCAAAATTGAGGGAAAGGCCAACAAAGCAGATATCCTGGTGGGATTTTGTTACAGAGCACCCAACCAGGATGGAGAGATGGATGAACCGTTCTGTAAGTAGCTGGGAGAAGCCTCGTGATCGCTGGCCCTTGTTCTCGTAGGGGACTTCAACTGACCAGGTGTCTGCTGGAAATACAGCACAGCAGAGAGGAAAAAGGGCAGGAGGTTCCTGCAGGTTGTGGAAGAGAATTCCACAGCACAGTTGGTGAGGGAGCCAGCAAGGGAAAGCACCCCCTGGACCTGTTTTTTGGGAACAGGGAAGAACTTGTGGGTGATGTGATGGTCAGAGGCTGTTTTGGGCGTAGTGACTGCAAAATGATAAGAGGTTTTGGTTCTTGGACAAGTAAGGGTTGGACTTCTGGAGGGCAGACTTTGGTCTCTTCAGGAGACTGATTGAGGCAGTCCTGAGGGCAAGGGAGTCCAGGAAGGCTGGATGTGCTTTAAGAAGGAAACCTTAACGGTCCAGGAGCAGGACCCCCCTATGTACCAAAGGACAAGCTGTCAAGAAAGAAGACCAGCCTGAGTTAACAGAGAGTTTTGGGTGGAATTAAAGGAAAAAAGAGAGTCTATAACCTTTAGAAGAAGGGGACGCAACTCAGGATATCTACAAGGATGTCATGAGGATATGCAGGGAGAAAATTAGAAAAGCCAAAGCCCAATTAGGACTTAATCTGGCTACTGCCATAAAGGACAATAAAAAAAATGTTTCTATAAATACATCAGCAACAAAAGGAGGGTAAAGGAGAATCTTCATCCTTTATTGGCTGTGGGGAGTAACTCAGTGACAAAGGCTGAGGTACCTAATGCCTCTTTTGCCTCAGTATTTAATGGTAAGACCAAGTTGTTCTTGGGGCATCCAGCTCGTGAGTCAGAAGTCAGGGATGAGGAACCAACCCATAATCCAAGGGGAAATGGTCAGTGACCTGCTACACCACTGGCACACACGTGTCTCTTGGGCCAGGTGGGATCATAGAATCATACAATGGTTTGGGTTGGAAGGGACCTTTAAGGGTCATGTCCTGCCATGGGCAGGGACACCTCCCGTTAGTTCAGGCTGGTCAGAGCTGCATCCAACCTGACCTTGAATATTTCCAGGGATGAGGCATCTACCAGCCCTCTGGACAACCTGGTCCAGGGATTCACCAACCTCATTGCCAAAAATGTCTTCCTTTGAAACTAAGTTATGGGATTTTGATGGCAACAATTCCTCCCTTGCCCTGTGAAGACATAACAAAGGGCAGCCTCAGGGAGGAAAGTAGGTCCACAGTATTCCTAGTGGGATGATCTCTCTCCCTTTTTCTCAGTCATCATTCCAGTTGGTAACTGGGGGACCAGTAGAACTCAGGGTTGTCTCTCTGTGGCTGTGGCCATGAGTCCCATTCCTGGTCAGCGTGCAGGGAAGCCGTGCTGTTGCTTCCAGAGGTTGCTGAACTGCAGGACAGCAGGACCTCCATCAGGGAATGTGTTAAGCCACAGCACGATTGCTCATAGTTTCATTTTGATCCCTTTGGAAGTAGAAAAGCGATGGAAACACCAAATGTGTGTTTGTGAGTGCAGGGGAGGGACTCACACACACCTCCCATGTGAGGGCTCAGCACGTTACTGAGCACTTAAAATTTCACAAGAGATATTAAGACTTGAGAAATCTATTTTGCTGCCTCGTAAGTGTGTGATTAAACCTTCCCCATTTCCTTCTCTTTCACTGTGGGGATCTTTTAAGTTGTTGTGCTTGTTTTCTTTAGGCATCGCATGGGAAGCAGAGTGGCTTCGTTATTCATTTATTTCTTTTTGGAGCTCACTCCTCTCTGCCTCTTTTATGCAAAAGCACTTTAATTGGTCTCGCAGACGGTCGAGGAGAGGACAAAGAGAAGGAAATATTTAATGCAGTGTATAATTCTTTCTGGTTTTGCCTCAAAATAAAAAGCCAATTTGCAGCGATTTATGTATCTAAACACAGTTTATGCAGAGGGTGCAGCTCTGTTTTATCTGCCCACTGCAGCAGGCTGATGCAAAGAAATCAGTGGGATGAACTGGTTCAGGGTAACTCCCAAACTCTTCAGTGCCAATTTCTTGCCACCCTGAGTGTAATTGTTGTATCATTTTCATGAAATATTTGTGATTTTATTTTGTGTTTTAATTCAGTCTCCTTGAACATTAAAAATTAAAATGATGCGAGTCCATTCCTTGCTGTGCTG